CAAGGGAAAGTTAGAATTAGGATCCTGAAAGATTTATGCCTCCTTTTTATTTATAATTTGTTTTCTTTTCCTTATTGGAATTGAGTTGCAACTGAATATTTGATGAACACAGCCTAGAAGTAAGGATGTTATGTCAGCAAGGAAACAAAAAGTAAAGAGAAACAACCAAGAAATGTATTTTGCAAAGTTCGCACTTTGGAATAAACTAACATGCCTTTGCTTTCACAAGTGGCTTGTTAATTGACTGGTGGGTGGGGGGAGGTTTGGGGGGGGGAGTTCGCTATCTGCAGGTTGTGCTGAGCCCTAGCGAGGCTAGCTGCGCCTTTCCGTATGCACCGCGCCGAGTGCTGGGTACTCTCCGTGCACAAAACACCATCTGCATTTTGCTGTTAACGCGCCTTCACATCCAAGGGAGGATTAGGAGAAAATCCCCAGGTTTTTTTCAACCAGTTGACAAATATCAGATTTGTCTCTAAAAAATTAGCTCCATCTATATCTCCCACCATATGACACACAAAAAAGATTATCTGTAATACCCAGCCAGCTTGGGTGGGGAAAAAGCAGATTAAAGTTTCAGTTTGGTCATATTTACGCAGCCTCTTCAAGTGCGAGACTGTCTGCAATCCACAGTCGACAGACCTCTTCGCAAAGAGTCCTCCCCTCGTGTGTACACCCACCCCCAAGCTTTACCTTCCAGAAACAAGATGTCTGCCTTGAAACAATTAGACATCATACTTAAATAATTCATCATTTCCCAGTGACTCTTTCTCTTCTACGTGTCCTTTAAACAGAGAGAGTGAGCTGCCAAAAGGGCTAAAGTGAATAACAGCAGCAGGTGCCTTTTCAGATGGAGCTTTGTAGTCTGCAGTGGGTGCTGAGCTGTTATTTTAGTGGCCCACTGGTGAGGAGCAGGGGAGGGCTGGGAAATGGACCTGCTAGCTGACCCCCAGACCCCAGAGCTGTCCTGTTAGCACTCCCCCCTCCGCTCCACGTTACCAGGAGTAACTCCTGGCTTAAGTTGTTTTTAAAATCTAACAATGCAACATGCAGCTGTGTTTACCTGTGAAGTTTAAGAACCTCGCTTCCTAAAAATAAACTCCTTTGACCCTCAAGGAGGTCGTTTGTGTCTGCAGTGACAGATTGTAAGGCTGGGCGTGCATGATTATAACACATCAGCATGCATCAGAGGGATTTAAACATACGAGTAAGATGCTCCTCTTTAAGCCTCCACTAAGTCAGTGTGTTCTTCCTGACCATTTCATTATCAAATACATAATCGTCATCTGCCGAGGACAGAACCGAAGGCCTAAGGCCCTACCTGGTGTCCTGGATGTTGACTTCCTTGCTTCCGCTCAAGACCACTGCCCCACCCAGAGGTTGCTTTATGAACACAGGAGCCCCATAAATGAAATTAAGGTGTCAATTAGTCAATTACAGCATAATAACTCTGAGGGCAGACATTTAGAGACAAAGAGAACCTCAGCTAAGTTCATTTCCTCCAGCCCAGGAGCCTAGCGTTTGGCACACGTCACTCCCCACCCAGACTCGCTGAATAAGGGCCCCAGTGCTCTCCCTAATGTTATTTTCCCCTGGATATCTTTTTTGATCAACAATTTCCTTTCATGGGTTTGTTTTTCAGATGCAGGGGATGCACTTTTTCTCTCCCCAATTTGGCTAGGGAGAATTTTATAATTTAGTAATTAAAATCTTTGTTAGGCTTTAGAAATTGCAACTAATTGAATTTAATGGGAAGATGAATTTCAATTTTATTTGATTAGCAAGACCCCTGGCATAGGTATTTATGGAAAAAACTCTACAAAAATATGCTGTGTGGGCTAAGATGGCATAATAGAATTACAGATAATCGGATTTCACTGTCATGAATTTCACTCTAATTTCACTATAATTTTCCATTAGATAGCTGGTTTACAAATATTTGCTCATCTGCGATGGGAAAGGCTATCTGTCTAAAATGATTACCGAGCGAGCCTTCAGAAATATGTCCCTTTTTTTTCTCCTCCCTTTTAAAACCAGATTGCGAGGGATCAAAATTAGGAAGATTGCATTATGGATGTCTGCATCCGGGAGAGCAATGGGGGAGATATGATGATTACGGCCGGGGGATGAAAGCGGTGTCAAGAAAAATGTATGACTGAAAAACATAGGCCTATTCTATCTACCGAATCTCTGCTCTCAACACAGTGCCGCCAAGCAACATGCTATATCGTGATTCATGTAATATCAGCGCCCCAAATATACCTTCTACTTTATACACGTTAATTGCTTTCAAGTATGTACCTTTAATGAGATTTTCATTGCGCTTTTCCTAGCGTATGTATGTCAACGCATATACAGCTACACAGCAATTATGAAAATCAAATGAGTTTCGAAGGAATCATCGTCATGAGTCATGCAAATGATGATCATCAAAATGTGGTGTGTTGCGATCATCGCTGTTGTGGCTGCATCTGCGTGTAAGTTTAATATTCCGCTCCTTCTCCGCTTAAAAAATAAATATATAATGCAATATAAACAGACGTGAGAGGGAATAATATTCCACATCATAGACAACCTCGAGGAACACTGAGGTGAACTCTTGTTGAAAAGCCCCTGCTTCAGAATTAAGCTTTTACACGTTCAATTTCCTGCCAATTTTCAACAACATGACAGTGAGTATCAGGAATAAACTTGCTTCATTGTCTGCTGAAAAACAAACCGTTTTTAATTTGTTGTGTTCAAACTTTAAGACGCAGAGTCGGAGAGGTTCACGCCGGACTGTTGCTCCTTCTGTCTCTCACACCCCCACCTGTGCACTCCACCCGTCATGACAGACCCCAATACCCCACGCCGGCTCACACCCACTCCAGCCTATTCGCTCAGTCACTTTTTTGCCCCCCGAATTGCCAGAGACAGCAAGAGGGGTTCAAAAACACAATCTGACTTTCGGCAAAGGTCAGATTTCTCACTCGGCATGTCCCTGGGCTTTGGGCACAAAAGCCGCTGAATTCACATCTTTCAACTGGGCAATAGCTTTTGTCCTGGGGAATGGAGGACTCGGAGCGGGCCCTGCACCAGACCAGCCCCTCCTGGAGCGCACGGTCAGGGGCAGCCAAACGTCTGGCCCCAGCGGCCCTTTGACTGATGTACCCCTACCATGTCACATGCATAGGAGCGCGCGCACACACGCTCACACGCATACACACTCCACCTTGCCCTCAACATTCTCCCGCATGCACCATACAATACCCTCACGCCACATCAAACGAAAAGCCCCACAGCTCCTTTTGAAAAGTAATGGTTTCGCCCCCAAAGATGGCAGCTCGAGGGTCCAGAAGGCTGTAATGCATGGACGACAGACCCTGCCTCCTGTGGACATTGTTACATGAATAGAATTCACCCTGCACTCGCCCCCTTGATATCAAGTTTTTGAGATACTGTGGAAGTTTTTATTGTTATGCTCCACCTATGTGAGACAAAAAGCATCACAGCGTTAGAGCCAGGCAGATGTTCTCACCACTTCAAAAATTTCTACCACATCAGTGGCATGGGATCATTTTTAGTAACTATTATATTTTCAGGTTTCAATCTAGCAATTCACACGGGCCACAAATCCATTAACAACATATATATTTATTTATTTGTACGGAGACTGACACAAAAGATTTTTATCCAGCAACAGAACAAAAGAGCGGTCGCCAAGTCAGGTCGTGCACAACAAAAACAATTCGATTTCATTAGATCCCGGGCTAATAAAAGTAGTATTTACAGTACAAAGTTAAATCGAGGGTGGAACCTTTTGATAGAAACTCTTTTAAGGTCATTTTCCTTTATGTGGGTTAGGAAGGAGGAGACAAAGCCTTATTTTTTTCCATTATTAGCCAGGATGAGTCATCATAATTTCAGAATCAACCAAAACCAGTTTTATGTACATACTTCAGACTAACAGCACTCAGGAACTGAAGCCCGACCTATGTATTATTGTATTATGGTCCAAAGCCATAAAGTTGTTCATTTCCTCTTTTCTGTGTCCAGTAAATGCTAGTTATACAACACCTTTATTCAGAGTAAACCTGCTGTGGAAAACAGGAATATCCAGTTACCTTTGAAAGTTGAGACTTTCTTGTTATTTTGTGTCGCTCTGTAAATTCCACATTCTTGACACACCACCATGTTTACAGTATATGGGCATTATGTACAAATGGTCCCGAGGTGCTTTGCATGCTGCTGCGGAAGAAACTGCCAGGCAAATAAAGGGTTTGTCTTATAAAGTATTCATTGTCACCTGGTAACGGCCGTCGTTTATCATTTCACCTGAAATTACAATGAAAACTGATAGCTTATCAGAGGGAGGGAAGGAGAACCAGAGCGCTCTGAGTGAGAGACAGAGAGAGAAGCAAAGAAAGTATACCATGCAGGGCTGAAATGGAGAGGATTGCTATATTGTGAGGGAGGGAAAGAGTTATTCGCTTTAAGCTAAATGGCTGGAAAATGTATTTTGTGAAATCTTTTTCTAAGCTTAACGCTTCTGTGATAGACATGAGGACAAGCATATTTACCAAATAGAAATGTGCCTGGCTTTATCCTGCCCTTTGACTATGTACACATCAAACATACAGTCTATGATTTAATAAGTGAGGACAAAATTGTGGAAATATTCTTCCACTTACTGTAGTTGTACTTTATATATAGAGCGCTAATTAAATATGTGTTTAAAAGCAGCTTTTACATGTAGTCACACTGCATTGGATTTAAATAATTAGCCTCAAAGTATAATATGTTTTAATAAACGTATACTCTTATTCTCTAGAAAGCCCTTTTTCTTTTTCTTTTTTTTTAAGTGTTGTGTGCCCCCCCCTTCGCTCATTTGAATAGAGGCAGTGGAGGCTCCACCCAAGAGAGTTGAAAGGCTAGAAGACCACAAAGATGGAAAGGCCAGCCCACTGAGGGAGGGAGAAAAAAAACTGCTCCGGTTCCTCTGCCATAATTTCCTATCAGCCTATTCAGACAACATCACCAACAGCTTTGTCTGTGTGTGTGTGTGTGTACGGGAGCAAAAGCAAGAGAGGGAGGCAGCGCACGAGAGGCAGAGAGAGAGCGCCACAGAGAGAGAGAGACAGAGCAGGGAAGGGGGAGGCTCCATATTCTTTCACCTAACCCCCCCATCACCGTCAAACCACAGGAAGGAGGGGCCAGACCCTAAGCTGCCAATCAAATCCGCTCGTGGCAGCCGGCATTATCTCAGCAACAAACTATTGACAGATTACATGTCAAGGAGTTTAGTGCTTGATTGAAGGAAGCCTCTTTTTTTTTTTTTTAAATCTAGTTACTTTTCCGCTGTATTCCCCCCCTCCAACAACCAACATTCGAATGACTTTCTAACAGAGTTGAGTAATATTATGAAAGTTACATGTCTGAGAGGATTTAACTTCGACTTCCCTGAATATGGTGAGTACTCTTCTTCTTTTCTGTCTTTGTCAGATGTGTTTTATTAGCTAACAGTTTAAGGTGTGCCTTTATCTCTGACTAAATATACAGAGAGGGGAAGTTGTTCATGATTAAACTATGTGCCAGCTCGTACGTATACCCAAGTGTTGCGACACCATTATTTATAGCTCTTTGACAGTGCCCAAAGGTGACTGCAGTATCAAATATGATTGCCTGTTTCCTCAGCACACGCTTCATGACACTGTGTTACATTCAGTACACATGTGAGGAAAGTTCACACAGCAAGTTTCATTTTCTCTTGACAGAGTACGTCTCTCTTCTAGAGAGCGGCACAACTCCCTGTCAGCCTGTTTTTGTTTCTTCTTCTCTTGCTTATTAGTTCTTTCTTTCAGCTATACTTTTTTTCTTTTTTGATAAGCCACAGTTTGAGCCTAGAAATAAAGATATTGGTTTGGCACACACGCAGGAGCTGGCAATGCCATTAGGGTAACCTGAATGGCCTAAGGGTTTGTTGCTAAGGGGACAAAGCAAACAAACTGTTGTGTTGCTTATGTTTTCCACATGTAAAGGGAACAGCAGCAGTGTTAACACCTTGCCAGGTACTTCTAAATAGTGTACATACAGTGCACAGGCTATTTTAATGCATTAAACGGATAAATTAAAAGCATTAGAGGTGAGGTAAAACTGTAACCAAACGATCCATTCGTTTGAGTGCTTTCATACGATGATTCTGATTCATTTCCCTTTCTATACACACACACACACACACACCTGTGAGGCAGGTTTTTTTATAAAAACCTGTAGCTGCCAGGTTAACATCAGTGATTCTGCGCGTACTTTTAGAAAGATAAACTTGTTGTGTTGTAACTGGATTATACGTGCAAGCGTCACTCTCCTCACCACTTATAAGACGGGGTTTTTTAGTGGGATTTAAAAGAAGTCACATTTTATGGTCACATTTAGTTCTTTCTGTTTTGCGCGTGCAGTGTGTTCTCGTGTGTTTTCCATTCGCTTGCACACCAAGTGGTGTCTTCCTTTCATTGTGTGTGTGTGTGTGTGTGTGTGTGTGTGTGTGTGTGTGTGTGTGTGTGTGTGTGTGTGTGTGTGTGTGT